ACCTCCTCCCAGCCCCTCCATATCTCCTGCAGGACAACTCATGCCCAAAATTCCAGGCTGTGTTTACCACAAAGTCATGCAGTTGCCAGTGCTGTACATAAAATTGTCCCCTTCATCTCTTCTCCTTCCACCCACCCAACCATCTTGGTTGTAACTCCTCCTATTCCTTTTTGAACTGAAGTTTCAAAAAGGAAACTCCCTTCAAAAAGGAGATGTCCTTTCATGTGGTTACAGGGTATGGAGGCATCAGAGAGATGGGCTAGAAGAGATTTCCCAGGGAAAGAGGGAGGATGGGAAGCAAGGAGAGGAGAGCACCCAAGAGCCTCTGAAACTCAGCAGAAGGGTCAGCAGCAGCAAATACCAGCAAAGAACACCCAGATCTCCTGTCAGGGGCTGAGCAACAGGAGAGCAACTGATTATTATAATTATTTACAACCCCTTTTAGCTGGGAAGACCTAACCAGCGGTTCCATTTTTCCCCGAGCATTCTCCCCTTAATAATACCCTTAATACAGCCTGTTCCATGGCTTTTGTGAGGCATGTTTTTCATCTTCAAACTCAATTTCATTTATTAGAGGCTTCTCCGTGTGCGACACAGTGTGCACACAGCAAGTGCAGCAAGGATTCGTTTTAATTACCGCGAATTACCGGGAGGCAGAGCACGTTTGCACCGGTGGGCGAAAGGGCAACGAGGGGCTGTTGTCTATTTCCTCTCCGTGCCACATATCACAGCTGTAAGGAGATGGAGCTTTTCTGAGCTGCATTTTAAATTTGGAATGGGCACGTTGGGTGGCTGGCAGTGCTCTGTGCCAGCCCCAGCGCTGGGGGAAAGTCTCCAACCAGCGAGTGCCCGTGTGGCTGCAATAAATAGTCTGAGATAACAAACACCTCTCTGAAGTTTTTGTTAGAAAGTCAGCCAGAGGACTCTTCTCTGGGCAGTGACTAATGATATTTGAATGTTGCTCTTTATGCAAGTGCGATAATATATAGGGTTGTTGTGGTGGTTTTATTTTTAATTGGAATTAATTTGTTGTAAGATGAGTCAAAATAACATTTCAGGAGGGCCTTCAAAGGAGGAGAAGAAACTAGAGGCAGAACATATATTTTCTAAGCTGACTCCAAACCTTTCTCAGTTTTCTGAATGAGAAGAATTTCCTTTCCTTCACACATTAATGAGGAAGATTTCTACCCTATATTCTATCCTGCAGTCTATGTACCCTACTGGCTTTCTTCTCAGTTGTGTGATAAAGGTGTGGAAAGCACAAGCTGGAGTATATTTTTAATTGGATTTTTTTTTTAAGGAAGTTTACTTTTTTATTTTTCTTTTTTTCCCCTGTTAATTTGACAAGTGGAGACACTGTGAATGTTTACTCTGTTAGAATCACCTAGTGTAGGAGGGAGCAATGCAGAAATCTGGAAGATATTGAGAAATCAGAAAAAGTGTTGAGAGAAACAGACAAAATTATGAGGAACTGACTTTGGAAGGAAGATAGACATGGAAAATTTGTGGTTTTACCCACTTGCATATAGTGACTTTAAAATTATGGCCATTGTTATTTGCTTTGAGAAGTGTAGGAGGCAGAACAAGGACTTGAAAGAGACCTTGTTATTCAAACCATTTTTACTTCTTTTAATGTGACCAGGTAGTTACCTTACTCTGGAAATTCCTGTAGAAAAATTCCTAAAAAGCAACATGTACCCTATGACTGTGCCACCAACGTTTTAGTAAAGCTGGTAAAAAAAAGAAATTAGCATTACTTTTGAAAAGAATGGCATGTTGCAGAAAGTTTATGTACACACACAGAGGTGCTACAAATATATATGGTTTTGGCTTAATTTCACTTCAAAAATTAAGAAAAAACCCATAAGGAAGCACCTAAAATAGAGGTTTTCAGTTTTATTTTCCGTACTTGTTTTCCTATTTTTCCCCCACTCACAAGCTGATATTTTTCAGTGAAAAACAAACCAAAAATTAATTGCAATCTTCCAAGGCAGTGGAAAGTCATTGTGTTTTCATGTGGCGTTGCTCAGTTTGAGCAGTTTTCAGAGAGAAAATCCTGCTCTGCATGAAAAAGGAGTTCCTAGTTCTCTGCCCAGGTTAGATGGGAAGCTGAGGCCATGGGTTAATGTGGTACCAAGGGTGTTCATTCTTTAAAGCAAGAGTGATGCCTGTTTGCCTCTTGCAGCTCTCTGATTGCCCAGCAGGCTTGATTGAAACCCAAACCAACGGGCTTTGAAGCAAAGATTGATTGTTGTGCACATTTTTGATAATACAGCAATTTGTCTCCTTGGGTGTAGAGCTCTAATCCCCCTTTCATTTATCAGTGGGGGATCAGGAGCTCGCCTCTTCCTCAGCCCCAGGTTTGTCACCGTGGCTGTGGCACTCCCTGCACAGACCCCATGGTGATGATGTGCCCTCTCAGCAGCACCTACTCACCAGTTCCTCAGCCTGCATCCCGTGGGGCTCTTTGGCACCTGCCTTGCTGCTTGGTTTAGAAATGTAAATGCTTAAGTCAAGAGCAGACAACAGAATTTTGCGTTTTTGAGATTTCAGATTTCTTGTTTGCACACAGAGAATTCTTGTCCTCCCTAATTCTGTGCCCACATTCTTTTCTTATCTTCTGATTTGGCTGACCAGGAGGTGTTGTTTTGGTTTTCAACCAACGCTGTGCTCCAGGATTTCAATCAAACCTGGAATCATAGAATGGTTTGTGTTGGATAGGACCTTAAAGACTCTTGGGTTGCTGTTGATAATTGCAGTCCCGAGATGTGCAGGGTGTCTCTGCTTCAGCCCATGCAGCTGAAGAACGAGTCTGGACTCTTCACTTTTCGGTCTTGAGGTTGTTTATTAATTCTTATCTATAAAATTTTCTTTCTGCCCAGCAGAGGTCTGCTCAGCAGGGCAGCCACAGGCACTCTGACCGCCCCCGGGACGGTGCTGTCCTTTTGTACTACAAACTACATATAACATATTTATACTTAATTCCCAATACCCATCACCTATGTTAGACAGTGCACTTCTACTCTAAACCAATCCCAAAGTGCCAGCATCACTGCAGAAAATGGAGAACAAGAAGAAGAAAGAAGAAGGACTAGACACGCCCTGATTCTTCCATCTTTTCCCTATAACCCCCATAACAAAAACCTTAAAATCTACATTTTCACCCTGTGAATGTTTTTATTATTACACTATTCAAACCTGTGTGACTTTCATGTCCTCACACAAAGCTGGTGACTTGCTCCAAGGGTCATAATCAAATCCCCAGGTGTTTGGGCAGCATGCCAGGGTCTCTGAGCCCTCCAGTGGGGTCCTGGCAACTCTGGACACCCGGAGGGATGTGCTGAGTTCCGACAAAAGACCATCTAGCTCAGAGAGAAAGTGGTCTGGTGTGTTTGTGTCACTGACTCTGTGCATCCCAAATAAGATGCCACCTGTCCTGAAAAAAGCACAAGTCCTTGCCCAGCAGAGCTGGAGGGTGAAAGGTGATGCAGATGTGGCATCTTTCCCTGTTTAGTGGTGATTGATCACCCATCCTCAACCATACCCAGTCCCACGTGCTGCTGTCACACCAGGTGTTTCTGTAGAAATCCCGTGTGACCAAAGTGGAAAAGCACCCAGTGTGAGCAGGATGTGTGCTCTGATAACTTGTGAACACCATCACGTGCCCCTGTAACCACAAGCTCCTGGGCAGTAATTCCCTCTTGGCATGCAGCAGAGCAGGGCTTTTCCACTGCTCGCAGCTTACTGAGAAAGCCACAGCACATCTGTTCAGTGCTTGAGCCACTGAGCATTCCCGGCATAGCCCGCCTGGATAAGCTGTCACTCTTGATTTTTAAAACAATTCACAGCAGAGGGTTGGCCTGGAATGGGGAAACTCTTGTGAGCAGCATCTGCAGAGGCCCCTCTGCTCACAGAGCCTCACCAGGCAAGGCTGCCACCATCATCCCTTGGCCAAGAGGGATCACGTCCTCTCTGCTGCAGCAAAGCACACCAGATTAGTTACCCCTCCTCAGTGAGCTGCACACCTCTGTTTTGCATTTCTTATGTTTCTAGAGCAATGCTTCTATCTGTTCTTCCCTGCCACCAGCCAGGTTTTAGAAATGCTCCTTATAACATCTTTTCTTCATGTTTCCTCCGGAACACTGACTTTGCTTATCCTTCTGAGAAGAAATTGGCCTCCTGTTCTCTTACTCTGCATGTTAGACTAGGTTGGCTGGGGAGAGAAGAAGAAGTGTGTATGCAAAGTCTCTCATTAGCCTGGAGATGCTAATTTCCTTACGCCTTATTGAGAGTCAACCTGGGAATGATGCACAGCGCTTAAATTTAGCTTGCTCTTCTGAGGCTGCCTTGAGAAGTTTCTGTCTCTCTCCATTGCCATGACAGATGACTACAGTGATAAATATCTGTCTTTGTAAATACTTCCTTGTTTGTTTGGTCTTTAACAGAGTGTATTTTTGTTTCTTTTGCTTTATACTGTGCATTTCCTATGCTGAGCAGAATCCACCAGGCTAAGGGAGTGGGCTGCTTTGTTAATATTGTTACATTCTGAGTTATAGCTGGTTACGTTTTTAACCTATGAGTCAGTAATTTCTGCCACAAACTTCAATTAACACGTGTCTCATCAGTGTAGAGACTAAAAGTTACAGGCTAGCATATGGTTTGGTTTCATTACATTTGCAGAATTTTGTAACAATGTTCTTGGTTTGAAGAGAGAGGCATGGCTGAATAGAATTTCCTAAAAACATTGCCCACAGCCCGTCATCATCTTATTCAACAGGTCTGATTTGGAACACAAACAGCAAATGCTTGCAGAGATTTGAAAACATATATTTATTTTTTCAATTCATAGAAGTTTTAAAGTAGCAAAACAAAGCAAAAGCATGCCATTCATCTCTCAGTTGCTGTCCCAATTGAATACGCTGGTTGGTGGATGATATTTTTGAATGTTATCATTCCCAGAATGTGTTTATTAAAAAGCCATTTCTCTATTTCTGTTGCAGTGAACTATTTCATAAAAAATGGTACAGAAGATGTGTTACTGTGTGGCAACAGCTCTGATGCTGGGTAAGTACTTAAAAAATATCTTCAATTCTGGTCTGGTTTTGTTGCCTTCATTATTATTATTATTATTATTACTACATTTTCCTCTAGTTCTGTCCACTTTTCACCAGCATGAAGTAGCTCTTTCAACTTCCTTAGGTCTAGGCATAATAGTAGAGAGTATAATGACAATATTGTGCATAGTAATACAATTTTCTCAACTGCAGGGAGGAGAAGTTTCTATGTGTCACTTACTCAGGTTTAAAATCTTTAGGGGCCTTATTACAGTTCTTTTTCAATACATTTGAATTTCTCAGTAAAAAATTGTGAAAACTAAGTAAAATTTTGGCTGAGTGGAGAGTATTTTAATGGAACTGAAACAGGACACCTGGAGGGATTGAAACTGATGATGAATTCCTGGCTTTTGGCAAAGCAAGATAAACAAATCAACAAATGCCCCAAAAATAGCCTGTTTTGGAAGTGGAAAGGTACTCAGGGTTGAATTGTGATCTATATTTGCACTTGATTTGATTATGGACTACATGTATTTTATTCTCGTTGTATAGACAGTGAAAAGATTCAGGGGTATACTAACATCCTCTGCATAAAGGACTTTATTCATATCCCTGCCATCTGTAGATGCCCTTGGTTCCTCCTGCATCCCATCCCCAGGGTCCAAGTGCACTGTCAGAGCTCGTGATTTTATCTGACAGCTTCTCATGATCTTGATGGAAGTGGAAGAGTTCAGACAGGATGGAAGGAGATGGGATCTTCTGTGGTCAGAGGAAATTATGAGCCATGCAAAGATTGCAGGCTGTTGGGAGTTGTATAAAGAGGAGGAAAATACCTTGGAGTAGTGGGACAGAGGAGCTTTTGAGCCAAATATGTGAGAGCATTTGAACCAGGGAGGTGGGTGTCTTAGGCCAAGGAAGGGGAGGAGGTGAGATGATCTGCTTCTGGAGGAAGATGTTCTGAGCTGGTAGAACCAAATGTGGAAGAATGCAAAAAAAAAATGAAAGGTTTCATTTAGGAGCAATTTAATGAGGAAAAAAAAAAAAGGCATGTGTGTGCAGGGAGATGAAGGGAAGATGAAATCTGAACTTGCTTGTGGACAAAAAGGCAAGAAAAGCCCTCAGGTGCTGGGGAGAGATGTTTTGCTTTCTGCTGCCACTGCCTGTATCTGTATTGACATGAGACAAAGGGAAAGCTCAAAGCTCAGTGTCAGCCTTCCCTCTGCAGGCCTGGTGTGTCTGATGTGTATTGCCAGCCTGAGTTGGACTCCAAGATGCTTGGGCAGAGCGCCATGCTTTCCCCTTTGTTTGTTCCTCGGGAGGTACAATGTCAGCATCCATTAATTAGGGCCTTTGTTGATTGTAATACATTGTGTTTATCCAGGCTCAGGCAGAACTCCAAGGCTATTGGGATGTTTCCCGGGAATCCCAGGATCTGGCAACCTCCATTGTGCTGGTGAACCTCAGCCTTTGCAAACCAATATTGGGAAACAACAAGTGCTCTGCACAGCAACAATATTTTGTGTGTGATGGAATAGTCATTGTTCTCACTGGTGACCTGAGCTGTGGTGGTGGGAAGCTGCTGCTCCTGGGCAGTGCTGAAAGGGTTGATTGCTACTGCTTTGGAATTGTTCAACTGGTGGGAAGTTAAATACCAATCCAATATCCATGGAGTATTTATATATTGGCAGCCTGTGTGGATTTAAGGGTTAGTTTGTAGCAAGGCAAATGAGCAAACCCACCCTCTTTCCTTCCTGTTAAAGTTAATAAATTTGGGTGTCAGCAAAATCCATGGTTGGAGAAAACCTCTGGTGGAGGCACTGTGCCCTCAAGAGAATTACAGCCTGAAACAGCCAGGGGAGAACTTGCAGTTCTTGGATATAAGAGAACAAAAATGACACCTTTAAACTGAGTGTTCTTGTACTTGTTTTGATAAATACATCAAAACTGTCAATGTTTGTGACATCAAGGGAAACCAACTCTCCCTTTACGCCTCATTTCTTTCTTCTTCAGCCTTTTGCTGTTTTAGTTAAGTATTTAATACCACTGGAAAAGGTTTAAATGCCTAAAAATGGGTAATAAATATTCCTACTTACACTGGGTTTTTTTAGCTCAGAATTACCAAGTGTTGTCTCATCTGCTACACATTGCACAGAGTTGCTGCCGGTCATCAGTGCTGTTGTTTAAAGGCAGGAAGATAATTAGAAAGATGATCCTCAGGCCCCAGGGGATGTGCAAAGTCATGTATTCCCACCTGTTGGGACAGGCAGAGCATCATTTACAGGCTGACGTACCTCAGGGGATTTGTTTTCTCTCACCCTTCAATGATTGAAGCCAAGAGCAAGAGTGGTCAACAGTAAACCAAAATCTGCATGCTTGGGACCTTCTGCACCACAGGAGCAAGGGAGGGGACTTCAGAGGAAGTTAGATGCATGAGGTTGTGGTTCCCTCATTTATTAGTAATGAAATTCATGACTCTTGGATTGGGAACCCACCAGGGCATCAGGAAGGTGTGGTAAGGAGAGAGAGCTGGCAATGCCATGTCCGAGTGTTCTCAGCATTTGTGGAGTGTGCTTTTGCTCACAGTTTGAATTCATCAGCCTCTGGGACACACTGAGGACCCAAAGGAAGTTCAGGGAAGGATTGTGTCATGTGTTCTCTCCTGGAAAGGTTTGTTGTTGGAGTGAGGGATATCTGTGTTGTGGCCAGGATATTAAATCTTGAGGTAATTGAAGAAGCCATTTCAGTGCATTTTTAAAAGCATGTTAATGACACTCTGAGGTTTGTCTGATTGCTGTTATTATGGAAGAGTTAAAAAAAAAATCCAAATAAATCTGCTCTGGCAATTGTTAGGTGATGAGGCTCAAGTGGTCTAATGTAGGAGTGTGTAGTGATGGAGACTGCAACCTGAGCTGGAGTAGCAAGCCAAAATCAGCAGGGAAATGATCATCAGTGGATTCTATATCACAGGCAATCTAATTATCTCCAAGGTGGGGGCTTTATTACATTACTGGGAGGGACTGTTTTCTGAACAAGCACCCAAGCTGCCAATAAAGCAGGAGGTAATGGATCTAGGTAATATTGATTCCAGTTCAGAAGGGATTTGAATAGATGTATGTCACTCAGCTGCAGCAAACATGTCTCTAGTACCTGACCTGGCAGAGAGGCAGGAAAAAAACCCCATTTATTTGCATTTCTAGATATGCTGAAGCAACCTCAAGAATCTACTTTAGAAACCATGCTGCAGAGACATGGTAGGAATGTCAGGGAGATAGCAAATTTCTTAGGTGCACGAGGGCTAGTCTGTCCGTGGGTTTTTTTCCCATGTGATGGCTCAGAAACCTTCTTGAAAACCGAAATCTGACTTTTCTTCCTTTAATCAAACAGAACTTTTTTGCTGCTTTTCATTTTGTTTATCCAACAGCTTTTCCCCCATTGATGTATTGCAAGAATTTGTTTTGTGCTTGCAAGGAACCAAGTACAATAGAAACAAGAAGTAACTTTTGGAGAAGAGAGAAAATCAAATGATTGTGATCAAAGATATTCTCTGGCTCAAAATGACACCTGCTTGGTGTTTCACAACAAGCACATTCAGAAAACTACACTGATAGAAAAATTATTTGCTCTGTGTGACAGATTGGTCAGACTGGGAGCAGCGCTAACAGTAAGGCTCTCTTAAAAAAACAAAACAAAACAAAAAAAAAAAAAAGTGGTCCATTTGCAGTTGTTGATGTTTTTAGGTGTGTTTGGAGGCTAAAATTGGTAGTTCATTTGGATGTTGCTGCACTGGGATATACACAAATTGTTTCTCTTTGCAATTTCAGCAACTTCTATTTTATTTGTTTAAAATAAATGCAGAAAGCTCAGATAGTCTGATTTTTAAAAAGGATTACAAATTCTATAAATTTGCTTTTCAATTTAATACCCAGTACATATCTTATCCAAGTTGAGCACCTTGTTTCAGCCTCAAGGAAGGTGCATTAAAGATCCGGTGCAATGGTCAAATAACTGGGAGATCTTAAGTGGGAGCAGAAGGTGAAAAATCCTGCTTTCCTTAGTGAAATCAAGTCCTGGCATCAAGTGGAGCATAACTTTTGAGGGCTGCAGAGCAGCAGGTAACAGTAGGTACCCCCACATGCTTCCTATTAAAAAAAAAAAAAAAAAAAAAAAAAAAATATATATATATATATATATATATATATATACACATCCTATATGTCTGCCCTCCTGGTCCCACCTCCAGATCCCAGGATGCATCCTGCTGGAGCACACCACCACCAGAGCAGGTTCTCAGTGTGGAGCACATCCCTGTCAGGCCACACCAACCCTCCCATGCAATTCCAGCTTTTATGGGAGCTGCAGCAGTGCAGAATTATCTGTCTGTGAGAAAGGAAGATGCATTTCAGCTCTAAAGCATTTTTTCACTTTCATCCTGCTGGAGTTTCACAGGGATGTTTGTCTGCTGTGCTTTGGCTGCTGTTTTTATTTCCCCTCCTGCCTGAAGGTTTGGTTGAGCAATAGAAGCAGCAAGGAAATTTGTCCATTAGGAGAGAGAAACAAGATGTTGTCAATGTACAAAGTAAACAAACAGACACAAAAGAGAAACTTAAATTCTTTCTTTTCACTTTTTCATTTGCAATTACAACAAGGAGCTAGTTTTACAAAAAAATGTGCATGTTTTAAGTCAGTTGTACCCTCTTTGGATCAGGCTGCTTAATTTTTTTCCCTTACACATGATATGTCCTGTGTATTCAGCTTATGGGCAGGAATAGTCTACAAAATCATCCTGACAATGAAAGCACATTTGCATCATGTCTGTACTGATATTACCAAAAAAACTAGTGAACAGGAAGGAAAAAGCAGCCAGTAAATCTACTTCAGGAACAACAAGAAAGCACCTTTGGCAACTGCATCCTAGTAATTGTTGCTATAGAAACTTTAGCTACCTTTATTCTTGTTATGACCTTGATTTTTCTTAACAGGATACATTAAAATAGTGTACACTGTGGGGCA